CCCCCCTGTATAATGTATCGGGGCTCTTCCGTTCTAAGTTGACATTTCTTTAACAGTTACATTATGATTTCAGAACAGAGTAGATTTCGACTTTGTACAAAAGTGAGTCGTCGTACGGGGTATATTTTGAGGGGATAGTTTACTTCGCATATTATGAAAAGGGGAGGGGGGTAAGTACCTGTGCACAGGTGGTTGCCTATGGCATAAGCGTGTATACTGAGAAAGGAGACAGAGAGCGGGATGGGGGGTAGGATGGAGGGATAGAGAAAGAAAGAGAAAGACAGAACGAGAGAGGCACACGAGAAGAACGTGAGAAGGACACAGACAGACAGAGACACAGAAAAAAAAAACAGACAGAAAGAAAAAGAAAGAAAGAAAGAAAAGAGGACTAATGCTCGTGTGATACAAAGCGGCCGCTTCCACGTGAGCAGCACCCACTCTCCTGTTGCTCGGAGCACGGTCGTCATTGTGAAATGGAGCATTGTGCCCAACAAGCGGAGAGCGGGCCAAAGGAAGAAATAATATATTATTCAGGTCGGCTTTGTTCAACGCTTTGACCCAATCTGAGCCACAGTTTTCCCTCGACTCCTCCATTCTGTTCTCTTTAGTCTACTCCCTTTCATCAATCAAGCAACACATTCCACAAGAGAGGAATAATTCCCCAGACCTAGAAACGAGTTGTTCTTCCATTCCTAATGAGGAACAAACAGGAAAAGAAAAAAAGGGGCGGTGTGTAATGTATTATTGATGTTAATTGCCGGTCTCAAGTTATATTTTGTAATGCTGTTTAGAGTAACGGCTGGGTTGGCAAGCTAAATGGGCGTGTTTGGAATGCTGGTAGAACGATGGTGAAAACGAAGTCTCATCTTAGTACTAAATTCCTTTACTCGTATTGTTTACATTAAATGACCGAAATTTTCCAAGTTTCTCCTTTCTTTAACTATCGCTCTTTATATTATGGGTCTTTTTTCAGTGATAATGATGATACTGATAAAGGTAGTGATGGTGGTGGTGGTGGTGGTGTTGTAGGTAGTGGTAGTGGTGGATGTAGTGATGGCGATGTTGATGTTGATGTTGATGTTGTTGTTGTTGTTGTTGTTGTTGTTGGTGGTGGTGGTGGTGGTGGTGGTGGTTGTGGAAGAGGTGGACGCTAGTCCCCGTTGTCGGAAGATACGGCTTTTCTAGAGAGGGCGACGGACGGGCCGTGTGAAGCAGGCGAGCGACGAGTTCCCGTGAGGGTACCAAAAATATTGCTGAGCCGGCTGGCCGGCCGGACGTTTCTTGAATGTAGTCGCCGTCAGGGGCGAGGGGAGGGGTAGCGACGACCCTCTGTGGGTCCCCCCCTCCCCAAACTATCCTCTTTTTTTTCTCTCCTTCACCCCTCTGCTGTCTTGTCCCCACACGACGCCGGATAGGTTATGACGTCTTCGGCCGAGGACACCTTTGTCGTTGTCAACTGTCCTAGTGGTCACATGTTTCTCTCTCTCTCTCTCTCTCTCTCTCTCTCTCTCTCTCGTTATTCTGTACTTAAACCAAATACTGTGACCAAAATTCTTCATCCTCCAAGCATAATCCAAGCATATGTGCTGGCTAGTTTAACTGCAC